CTGCCCATCTTTATTCTTCCCCGCATGGCGAGACGTTAAAACACGGCGGAAGGCATCTGGCCGCCTCGATGGCACGAAAGTCGGAGGAACTTTCAGAAACCATTTGCCTTAGGCAGCCATACCCAATGTGGAGTGCCATGATATGATACTCTCTTAGTAAATCCACATGGAAACGACAATAATTATATATATGAAGGGGTCATTCTTTTATATTAACCTGGTTTACATAGCATATTTGACGAGGCTCTAGCTCGTTAATTTGGCGATAATTTCGATGCAGTGGTCTTCAAATATTTAGAGGGGATCATTTTGTAAATTGTTCAGCACCATTGGCATCTTTTGCAACATCACGGACGGAGATATAAGCTTGCAACAAACCCTATGTAAACGCGTCTATTCAGCTTGTAGGCACTTGAGTGTGTGGTACACCGCAGTTCCCTGCCTCGTAAATTACACCGCACTGACTCGTTGTTCTGCGGGACAGCATACGTCACAGGCGTCCGCTGCGCCTGCAAGTCCCTCCAACTTTTCGGCTGGGGGGGCTTGTAATGTATTTGAGCCCCCCCCCCCCCAGCTGGAGGAATCGAAATCGGAAATCTACCAACATAATTTCATAGATTCATACATAGGCGCGGGAACCGGGAGAGGGGGCAGAGGGGGAAGCTTGCCCCCACAACTCTGGGGCCGTGGGGGCGGTGCCCCACAACTTTTCATGAGTCCAGGAACCGTTGGGGCAGCTTGTCCTCCCCAAATTAGGGGTTGTGGGTCACAAAGGAAGAAAGCATGTAAGTGAAAAATCCACCTCTTTCACTGGCTCGGCAACTCATTGGCAGATTAAAACCTTTATTCCAGGTTGCCAAAACGGCAGTTTCTTCACTCAGCTGAGACGGAATACCTCACTTTTTTGCAAATATTTTCGTTTTTTTTTTTTCGTTGAAAAGGCCAAGGTCTGAAAAATAAGTGGCCTAAAACCGGTGAGAAAACTAGATTGGGGGTACCCTAGGTTGATCTCTATTATGGTTGAGCCCACCCAGTCTTGAAGATGTTCCCGCGCCACTGGCTCACCGAGTCAGTCTGTGGGCTTCTGGCGAGGGCAGGCGGTCAGTACCGGCCATTCGCTTCGCCAACTACCCTATAAGATCACGCCATCACCGCCAACGCCTCGACCAGACCGCACCGCCCTCGCCCAAAAATCGCTCGGAACGGCCGCCCTGAAATTGACGCTGAGTGACGGGCGGCTCGCGGTGTCGGGCGCTCCTGTGAGCCGGGCACGGGCCCTGTTCAATTACCCGTTCGGTAGCGGGGATTATGGCGGGCAAAGTGCGCCCGCCCGGCCGTGGGTGGACACTGCGCGGGCCGGCCGGCCGTGCACGTCAGTCGCCGAGACCGTCGAGGACATATTCGAGCGGTAAACGCCGCCGAATGTGTGTGCCGAGCGGAGTCGGGCGCGTGCAGCGAGCACAGCGACTGCCTAATGCGCAAAAGAATGCGCTGCAACGATCGTAAACCGGCCCAACAATGCTCAGACATCGACGAAAAGTGATCGTTTTGTACGGATATCTTGGCTGGCACTGTCCGCCTCAGAATTGCAATAAAATACGTCACCGCCTGCTGCTGGAGCCAGTTGCCGAGATCTGTATTAGTGAGCTTACGGGCTAAAGACCACAAAGCTTACTGCTCATTGCAAGTACTCAAAATACCTCATCAGTTTCTATTGAATAAATGAATAGCAAGTGGGTATTTTTAATTCCTCACATTGTTTTGGTCAGTTGCTTAGGAACATCTGACATTAGCAGGTCGTAATGTAGATAATATGCAGGCCCTGTTCAGGAGTATATCTTTTTTTCAAGTTCTGTGTATTTCCAACTGCGTGATATGATAAGAATGTTGGGATGCATTATATATGACAATACTGAAGACACGCCCGGATGGATAAATTGTGTAAGTGCAAGTCCGTATGGATAAATTGCTATGCTTTTCGAAAAGACACAAAAGAAGGAAAAGAAGAATACAGTCTTTAACTGGAAGTTAAAAGACTGAAAACGCTGCTGCTGATTAATTTTGCTGCGCATACCTATCTGCGGCCTGTCTTGTTATAAAAATCGGAATTTTTGTGTCAACAAGATTATACTTACAGAGAAAATCATTTCTTTTCAATAACGGGCCAACATACAGGAGCGTGCGCATTAATCCCGCGGAGCTGGCATGCTTCGGGCGGATCTAATGACCCTGTGAGACGAGTAGGGGAGCCGAACCAGTTCAATGGCATCCTCTGTATGCTGAAACCGTCTGGAATGGACGCTATGGAGTCATCCCCAGTCATAATCGGGATCAAGGTCGTGTACGTGATTACGATATCGGTTGCCGTCTGACTGCCAACTGACTGCTGACCGTTCAATGCTGACTATGGTACTGTGCGTAAAACAAATGTTTGACACGTTTGCGATATATTTTGGGCTGTCAGTTGGAATAAGCATGCTTCATAGGCTGCCCAGCAGACGTTAATGCTCGTAGGTGACCCATTGTATTTGGTATTTACCTTGTGAAATATAATGACAGCGGGCCAATCAAAAACTGTTTCCCGCTTTTCGCCGCGAATGTATGTAACGATCAGTGACTGCATACGCAGATTGCACTCCCCCCTACCCAGCCTGTGTTCCGCCCGTATACCACAGTCCACTCTCAGTCCGGGGATGGAAGGGGAAGGTGAGGGGCGGGGGAGGGGGGCGGTAGTTCGGCTGTCGTCGCTCGGCTGCACGGGCCGCCTAGCAATGCGGTCGGCCGGCTCACCTTGCCGGCCCGGTGCCGGGATCAGATGAGCGCCGGGCCGCCGCCGACCCGTCTACAGTGATGGATCGGCCCGGTCCGCCGCGCTCCGATTTCGCTCCTTTGTAATCTGCTGGCATTAGACGGCCAACAGGTTCTCGAAGATGCGCCGGCTGGATACGACGGCCGCGCACTGATTTCGTTTCTGGTCGCGACGGCCTCTTTGACGACGTTAATATTTAACAATCCGTCATTCGGTTTCTGTAATTGGTGTGAGCACAAAAAGCGCTGGCCCGGCTATCGGATCCGGCTGCCGTTGTGTTGTGACAGCGTTTTGGTAGTGGTCGCCGCTCGTCTGGTCTGTGAAGGGGGGGGGGGGGAGGTCGAGGAGTGCTGCGCCGGTGAAGGGCGATCTCGGGCTCTAAGATCCTGGAGCTTCCGAGGTCGGGTATTTTTTTTTTTTTTTTAGTCTGTGGGTTGATTATCCGAAACCGTTTCCGTCCATTTGCAGTTTCTCCGGGATATTTGTTATATCAGCTGATCCGAATGCTCTGAATGGATGGGCTTTTAAAGTCGGGAATCATACTTATTGATATATCTGTTACAGGCAATGTGTGGAATCAGGCATTCTATAGAATGCCTAGGCATTCTATAGAATACCTGACCGACCAGGCATTCTATAGAATCCCTAGGCATTCTATAGAATCCCTGACTGCTTAGGCATTCTATAGAATGCCTGGCTTAAGCTCCCAGGCATTCTATAGAATGCCCAAGTATTCTAATTGTCCCAAACAGCACTCCAAAATTCTTTGTTGAATTAGGCCGGTCGTCACCTGAAACCATTTCAGGGCAATGAGATGAGAGGAAGCGAGGGAGAAATTGGGCTATGCCAGCAACCAAATGGTGCGCCGCAAGCAGCAACTGATCCAATCCCGTTGGCACGGGAGAGCCACGGCGCAAGGGACAGGCCAACCAGTCGCTCAAACGGTTACCCTCGGAGGATTATGCTGCTACGGATACTAAGCTGCACTAGTGGAGTGTTGGCTGGGTGGGTGAACCGTAAGCCAGAATCGAAAGTGCTTACAAATTACGATGGGTTTGTTCTGATGCTAGAAATGACGGTGAGGAATATAACAAAAAAGCATCATCTTACATCGTCATAAGCACTTCGTGTAACTACTCTCAATATACATGGGCAGCTTAACCTACACTGCAATGTCAGGGAATAAACTGAATAAATGGTTCATTATTCGACGCCCGGGCGGTGGCCCGGCCGTAACAAGAGCCGGATTAGGTGCTGTTCGATCTCCCCTTCCAACTTGACTTCTGAGCCTTGCGGTGTTCGAACGGTCGTCAAAATAATGAAATTGGACTCCAGCAATGCTTTGGTAATGTTCCTAAGGATGCCAAATCTAAAACAGCTATGTAGTTAAGCCATTTTTAGGTCAGGCCCATTTTTGGCCATTTTTGACTCGAAGCTGCATTTTCTCCAGTTTGACCGTAAATCGATGCTATGTCTTCCAGAGGGCAAATCCTCAAAAATGGACGCTTTTGCAAACTTTTTCCTTCGCGAATTTTTGACCAAATGCGTTTCCGATAATGACATTAACACCATCGTCTTTCTAGCGTCGAGACGAATACTCTGTACTCTCCGAATGAAAGCCTAAAAGATGATCTACAGCTTGACCTAATATTTAATAAGGTTAGATTGAATACCTGACATGAAAAATTGACTGAGTGAACATTTAACATAGCTGACCGCAAGGTAGCCTGGCAGAAATAATAACGTTGCATATCGGTTCGCACTCATAATCTTATACAGCCTTCACTCATTTGTTGGTAAGATACGTATATTTCCCAGGCATTCTATAGAATGCCTGAAAATCAGGCATTCTATAGAATGTCTAGGGATTCTATAGAATCCCTGGTGGGTCAGGCATTCTATAGAATGCCTAGGGATTCTATAGAATGCCTGGTCGGTCAGGCATTCTATAGAATGCCTAGGCATTCTATAGAATGCCTGATTCCACACATTACCTGTAACATATCTACTATACTATTGTTGGTCTATCTCGTAATCTATTAAGCTATCAGGTTATCTGCCTTATTATCGGGCGCTGGCCATTTACGTCTAAAGCAATTATGACATTACTTTGTTTAAATAAGCTGCCATTACCATGCTAGTTGTGCTCTGTGTCATATCTGTAATCGCTGTCGTCTCTGTGCCATTCCAGATTACACCAGCGCACCTGTTTACCCGTGCCGGACCCGGCTCACACAGCTCCCGGGCGCCGAGAGAGCGCTGTGGCCTGCGGCGGTGCCTGCGGGGCGCGGATGACGCCCCCTCCGCACCGGCCGCCGCTGCCGCCCGATGGACCCCTTCACTGGTGAGTACCCTCGCTGGAACCCCTCTGTTCCAGTCTGTATAGTGTATATCCCCTTATTCGTATAAAATCCATCGCCATAAATAGGTAGCAGGGCTGTCCTCTTCCATTGTAAATACCCGGGCAGCGCTTGTCGAACAGCACTGCGGATCCGAAGGTTGGGACTTTAATTGTGAAAAACCGCCCGCCCGCCGCCAAACGCAAACACCGCAAAACGCGCAAAACGCACGCCCAAAACGCAAACGCAAACTTCGCAAAAAAAGAAACAATCGCCCGCCCGCCGAAAAACGCAGAAAAAAAACGCAAAAAATGCAAAAAACGCCGCAAAAAGCAAACACCGCCGCCGCAAAAAAAACGCCCGCATCGCCCGCCGCCAGCCGCAAAACGCCGCAAAAAAGGCCGCCCGCCGCAAACCACAAAACGCCGCAAAAACGGCCGCCCGCCGCAAACCGAAACACGCCGCAAAAAACGGCCGCCCGCCGCAAACCGCCGCTAAAACGGCCGCCCGCCGCCAAACGCAAACACCGTAAAAAACACCCGCATCGCCCGCCCGCCCACCGCCAAACACAAAAACCGCAAAAAACGCAAACACCGCCGCAAAAAACGCCCGCAACGCCCGCCCGCCCGCCGCCAACCGCAAAACGCCGCAAAAAAACGGCCGCCCGCCGCCAAACGCAAACACCGAAAAAACGCAAACACCGCCGCAAAAAACGCCCGCCGTGGGCAAAACGCAAACACTGACGCATTAAGACAAATATGACGCCTTGCGGCAAATGTGATGCATTCATATCTGCCGTTAAGGCAGCCATACCTCAATCACAGCGCATCCTAATCGTCCCATGTTCGACAAAGATACGCACATTCTGCGATTTGCGGCAAAAATGGCGCTTTGAGACAAACGTGGCGCACTGCAACAAACGTGGCGCACTTGTTCCTGCCGCTTAACAATGCATCCAGCCACCAAATTTTAGCCCAATCGGACTTAAACTGACAAAGTTATGTACATTTGAATATTTCACTATAAAATATCTCCGCCACGAAGGTGCCCATCTTCGCACGTGTGCCACGTAACTACTGGTGGTGTAAGCAGGACTTGTCCCCTCGCCGGTTGAACTATTTTAGGCTTCCTGACTGGTGCTGTTTTCGTGCTATAACGCCACAAATCGGCAAACACACGATAATCTGGGAGGTACGCGACTCAAACACGTGGCCACGTGGCACGTGCCGGACCTCTGATAGCTTCACAGTTCACGCCACGTGATGACCCATCGGCGTGGCCATCAGCAAGTAAAAGATGACCCCGGCCGATGTCACCGTCTCTGAACAGTGGACGGCTAAACTCGAAAAACGGGAAAATGTAGGGAAATTTCACCTTTCGAATATATAATTTCCCCAGAATTTTAAATTTTTCATTTTACAAAAAATCCGAGATAGCAGTTTTTTAGCCCCCTTCATTCTGTGCCTATACCCGTTTTCAGATCGACCCTATCATAAAAACTGACGACCTGACGGCTATTTCCCCCATTCCTTGCGTTTCACAATGCTAGTATATTTAAGCACCAAAATTGACCACGTGCCACGGCACGTGCAATTGCACGTGCGCCACGTGACCACTAGTGCGACAAGCTGGACTCATCTGCTCACCGGCTGCGTTGATTTGGTGTCGCTAAGTGGAGTGGTTTCCACGCCATAGGACCCCCAGTTGGCCAATGTCGGATTTTCCCGGAGGTTACCCCATCAAACACGTTTGCACGTGGCACGTGCTTTTCAATCGCCCCATATCTGACCCATACCACGTGGTAGCCGACACCCCGGTGCACAATATATTGGAACATTTTCAAAATCTAACGTGGAAATTTTTGGCAAAATTGATTTGAAAATAATTTTTTGAAATCGCCATAGGCTCAGCATGGGGTAACTATCCGTTCCAATTACCCGAAATTGTATCCTATGATTTTTAAATAATTAACCCCAAATGTTGAGGTGCCAGCCCTAGATCCGACCCTAAAAATATCAGCAAATATAATTGACGAAATTTTTCGCAAATCGAATTTTAATTTTTTCCCCATGTTAACCCTATGGGAAAATGCACGTGCCGATTACCCCAAAACGGGCCCATTATATTTTATGCAACTTTGCCACAAGGTAGCTCCCCCATAGGGGACTAAACGCTGAAAATGGCAAGAAAGTTGACCGTGCCGTTTTTGCGGGAGTCAAAATGACCAAAATCGCGGCCGAAACGCTAAACACCCCCCTAGAGAGGTAGCTCAGGTTGGGATTTTCAATAGAAAATCACAATTCTAAAGAATAGTGATTTGTCTTAATTGAAAAGTCCCAACCTTCGGATAGGCCCGGGCAGCGCTTGTCGAACAGCACTGCGGATCCGAAGGTTGGGACTTTAATTGTGAAAAACCGCCCGCCCGCCGCCAAACGTAAACACCGCAAAACGCGCAAAACGCACGCCTAAAACGCCAACGCAAACTTGGCAAAAAAAAAACAATCGCCCGCCCGCCGAAAACCGCAGAAAAAAAAAACGCACAAAATGCCGCAAAAAACGCGCGTCCGCAAAACGCAAACACCGCAAAAAACGCAAACACCGCTGCCGCAAAAAAACGCCCGCATCGCCCGCTGCCAACCGCGAAACGCCGCAAAAAACGGCCGCACGCTGCGAACCGCAAAACGCCGCAAAAACGGCCGCCCGCCGCAAACCGCTAAACGCCGCAAAAAGCGACCGCCCGCCGCCCGCCGCTAACCGCAAATAACGGCCGGCCGCCGGCAACCGCAAAACGCCGTAAAAAACGGCCGCCCGCCGCAAACCACAAAACGCGGCAAAAAACGGCCGCCCGCCGCAAACCGCAAAACGCCGCAAAAAACGGCCGCCCGCCGCAAACCGCCGCTAAAACGGCCGCCCGCCGCCAAACGCAAACAGCAAAAACACCCGCATCGCCCGCCCGCCCGCCGCCAAGCACAAAAAACGCAAAAACGCAAACATCGCCGCAAAAAAACGCCCGCAACGCACGCACGCCCGCCGCCAACCGCAAAACGCCGCAAAAAACGGCCGCCCGCCGCCAAACGCAAACACCGCCAAAAACGCAAAAACGGCCCACGCCGTCAAACGCAAACACCGAAAAAAACGCAAACACCGCCGCAAAAAACGCCCGCCGTAGGCAAAACGCAAACGCTGACGCATTAAGACAAATATGGCGCCCTGCGGCAAATGTGTTGCATTCATATCTGCCGTTTAAGCAGCCATCCCTTAATTACAGCGCATCCTAATCGTCCAATGTTCGACAAAGTTACGCACATTCTGCGCTTTGCGGCAAAAATGGCGCTTTGAGACAAACGTGGCGCACTGCAACAAACATGGCGCATTCGTTCATGTCGCTTAACAATTCATCCACCCACCAAATTCTAGCCCAATCGGACTTAAACTGAAAAAGCTATGTACATTTGGATATTTCACTATAAAATATCTCCGCAACGGAGGTGCCCAAGTTTGTACGTGTGCCACGTGACCACCGGTGGTGCAAGCAGGACTTGTCCCCTCACTCATTGCACCATTTCAGTGTTCCTGGCTTGTGCTGTTTTCGTGCTATAAGGCCACAAGTCGGCAAACACACGATAATCTGGGAGGTACGTGACTCAAACACGTGGCCACGTGGCACGTGCCGGACCTCTGACAGCTTCACCGTTCACGCCACGTGATGACCCATCGACGTGGCCATCAGCATGTAAAAGAGGACCCCGGCCGGTGTCACCGTCTCTGAACAGTGGACGGCTAAACTCGAAAAACGGGAAAATTTAGGGAAATTTCACCTTTCGAATATATAATTTCCCCAGAATTTTGAATTTTTTATTTTACAAAAAATCTGAGATAGCAGTTTTTTAGCCCCCTTCATTCTGTGCCTATACCCGTTTTCAGATCGACCCTATCATAAAAACTGACGGCCTGACGGCTATTTCCCCCATTCCTTGCATTTCACAATGTTGGTGTATTTAAGAACAAAAATTGACCCCGTGCCACGGCACGTGCAATAGCACGTGCGCCACGTGACCACTGGTGCGACAAGCTGGACTCATCTGCTCACCGGCTGCATTGATTTGGTGTCGCTAGATGAAGTCGTTTCCGCGCCATAGGACCCCCAGTTGGACAATGTCGGATTTTCCCGGAGGTTACCCCATCAAACACGTTTGCACGTGGCACGTGCTTTTCAATCGCCCCATATCTGACCCATACCATGTGGTAGCCGACACCCCGGGGCACAACATATTGGAACATTTTCAAAATCTAACGTGGAAATTTTTTGCAAAATCGATTTGAAAATAATTTTTCGAAATCGCCATAGGCTCAACATGGGGTAACTGTCCGTCACGATTACCCGAAACTGTACCCTATGATTTTTAAATAATTACCCCCAGAAGGTGAGGTGCCAGCCCAAGAACTGACCCTAAAAAAGTGGACAAATATTACTGAACAGATTTTGCGCAAATCGCATTTTTAATTTTTCCCCATGTTAACCCTATGGGAAAATGCACGTGCCGATTACCCCAAAACGGGTTAATTATATTTCAAGCGACCGGTACCAGCCGGTAGCTCCCCCACACGGGACCAAACGCTGAAAATGGCAAGAAAATCTACCGAGCCGTTTCGGCGGCGATCAAAATGACCCAAATCGCGGCAGAAACGCTAAACACCCCCCTAGAGAGGTAGCTCAGGTTGGGATTTTCAATAGAAAATCACAATTCTAAAGAATAGTGATTGTTCTTAATTGAAAAGTCCCAACCTTCGGATAGGCCCGGGCAGCGCTTGTCGAACAGCTCTGCGGATCCGAAGGTTGGGACTTTAATTGTGAAAAACCGCCCGCCCGCCGCCAAACGCAAAACCGCAAAACGCACGCCCAAAACGCAAACGCAAACTTCGCAAAAAAAAACAATCGCCCGCCCGCCGAAAACCGTAGAAAAAAAAAACGCAAAAAACGCCACAAAAACGCCCGCCCGCGGCA